TTCCATCGTTCGCTAAAACAGGCTCTCAGATGCCACGAACAACACTGGACGGAATCTCTCCCAATCGTCCTACTCGGCCTTCGATCAGCGTTAAAAGAAGACATCAATGGCACTTGTGCCGAGATGGTGTACGGTACAACCCTTCGTCTCCCGGCAGAGTTCTACCATCCTTCGCAGGAACCGCCAGCAGACCCATCATCCTTCCTCCATTACCTACGGTCCACGATGCAGTCGCTGACGCCGACTCCAACATCTGCACATGTCAAACCTTCACACTTCGTCCATCCAGCACTCGACACCTGCTCCCACGTGTTTGTGCGAAAAGAAGGTCATAGAACTTCTCTGACCTCCCCTTACAATAAACCCTTCCCAGTTACCGTGCGGACACCCAAGCACTTCACGATCCTAGTCAACGGAAAAACAACAAAGGTTAACATCGATCATCTGAAGCCAGCATTTCTGGACAGCGAGAACGCCAACACATCGTCAAACTCGTCCAGGACAACACGTCCAGACTCCCCAGAGCAACCAAGGATAAACATTCCTAATAACTCCGTGCCTACCAACACGATGACAACGACAACACGTTCTGGAAGAAGAGTCAGGTTCAACCCTCAGTACCTTTAACTTCGTACCTACGGCACTGGGGGGGAGTACTGTGGCGACAGCTTTGGCAATAAATTCCAAAGCCGCCACAAGGGGGAACCCCCTGAACCGTACAAACCTGACCTATGACATCACACATTCTTGTTGGATTTGGACTTCTCCAGACGTGTGTAGTAACACCTCGTGTTTTAACCTGTACAGTCGTGCCATAATTCATATATAGAATAAATGATAATCTTTTATTGTATGTGGCCCTGTTTGTAATGATTAATTTCACACAAACTGGTGACCACACCAGTCTATATTGGCAAGTCACTCTTAGACAAAAAATAATATAATTAATGACGATCCAAACAAAGATGTTATAGAAAAATTATATGGTTTAATATCATTAATTTTTATCATCTACCATAATACCAACTACGAGTGTGTCTGTTGAGCACAATTTTTCAACCATGAAGCAAACTAATACATTTGCATGGAACACTCAGTCAGAAAAAAGATTGTCGTCACTAGCATTGCTTTAAATAGAAAAACAGCTTTTAAATACTTTAATGGAATCGATGACAAGCAATTTTTATGATAAAGTAATTAATGACTTTGCAGAAAAAAATTGCCAAATAGAGTTAGTTTATAAAAAATAATAACAACAAGTTTTTATATCTTTGTTTCATGTCAATTATCTATTTTAGAATTAAAATAAATAGACTGTTTATTTTTGTCATTTCCAGTATTTGTTCAAAATTTTTATGAAAACACACACAGCTTCTCTATCATCAAATGTCATAGCATACCACTGCTCTCATTGTAATTATCTCTACCTCTTAATTTATCAAAATTTATAGGTACAGTATTTGGCAATATTGTGAAGATCATTTTAAAAATAAAGAAAGGATTAGCTGAAAAAATTTTTGATATTTCCTAATGTGTTGAAACTTCAGCTTCTCAATTTACATATTCCTTTGTGTCATCTATTTGTCTCGCACTCAGTAGTTCTCCAGTGAATGTGGAACTTAAATTTTAGTAAGTCAGTTTCAATATCTTAACACACTTTTCTTCTTGTAAAATTATTTTAGGAATAAACAATTATCTTAAGTCTCTACGCTGGTGCCCATAACCTGATGAAGGTGTTAGCAGTGTGTGGTTAATTAAACAAAGGAAACAATAAACACCCACAATGGCATCCAAACAGCAAAAGACAGTTTTATTTAACAAAATAAGGACTAAGTATAGAGGGGTTACAGGGTGCTATCTTGTACTAATCAGTTTTAACAGATACACTGTGTCAGATTTTCTGATGATATAGTGATAATGAATAATTCAGAAAGAGAAATGAATCATATGTTTAGTACACTGCATGAAAACTTACATCAAGGAGCTTAAACATAAACACTAAGAAAACAAAGATAATGGTAGTAGAAAAGAACACTAAGAAAATAAAAGCTAACATCAGGATAAATAGAAAGGGAGTGGAACAAGTAGGAAATGTTACATGTGAAAAAGTAAAATCAAAGAAGATAAATGTTTAAAGGAGATCAAAAAAGAGGATAGGACTCACGAAAGAAGCTTTCCAACACAAAAGAAATCTGCTAATGTCGAAACACGTAAGTATGGAAGCAAAGAAAACATTTACTAAGACATTTCTCTAGAACATTTTGCTGTTTGGAAGTGATTGCTAGACACCAGGAGAACAAGAGTTGACCTATCTTAAGACAGCTAAAATGTGGATATGGAAGAGACTAAACAAAATAAGCTGGACTAAACAAAAAAATGAATGAAACAATATGAAAGAAGTAGCAGAACAAAGGAAGCTAATACAGGAAATGGGGAAAAAGAAAAATTAAATTTATAGTGTGATGTTCATAGCAAAATGCAGGAACACAAAGATATGATGTACAAAGAAAATATCTTTATTTTGCAATTGAGCACTGTTCTTTCAGATTCCAAATCTTATAAAGTCCACAGTTTTTTGAGAATATTTACAGAGGTTTTTGTTAACAAGATGAAACTTGGATAAACAATTCAAATAATTAATACAAAGAGATACAATCACAACAACTATAAGCCCATATTTCTTGTATGATGAATAAAATTACTTATTTCTAACGTCTTAACCTAATTAAAACTAAAAAGAATGATAAGGATAGAGTTAGAGATGAATAGAATAGAAGTTCACAGGAAAGGTGGTACCCATTTCTCAATGTAACTCTAGGTATGGTGACAATATTTGATTCCAGCATCCTTATCACAATGAAATGACTTGTATTGTACTTATTCTGCTAACGTCTTCTTGATATTTCCCTATGTTTTATTGTCTCTCTCCTTGTTGGGTTAAGATTTCTAACCGGGAAAGCTTTTCCTCCAGTCGATGCTACTAACGACCTGGAGATCCCTCGGTCCATGTCCTTCTACTCCAACATCCAGCCAAAAAGTGTCTGCACCTCACAATCTTTAACCCACAGGGCTTTTTACTTTCTTTTGTCTTAGTTGAGTTACCACACCTGAAGAAAAAGGGTTGGGCAGGAACATTCCAGAAAGATGGAAAACAAATGAACAAGGAGAAAAAAGAAAAAAATGATATATGTACAAAATAAAATACAGGTAACCCCCGTATAACACGGCACTTCTATAGCACAAATTCACTCTAACACGGTTCGAGAATTGGAAACATCCCCCATATAACACGGTGGTTTTATAGCACTGGTTCACGCTAACACGGTCTGGGAATTGGGTAAAACCCTCGTACAACATGAAATGTAATAAAGGGTGCATTCTTTTATACTTCCGCGTAACTCCGTGTGAGCATTCTAATTGTTTTCGTCGCTACTTTGAATGCTCTTTCAACAATAATCCATTTAATGGTTAAATTTTACAATTGGAACCCTTCTTTTGCATCTAAAAGCTCATTTTAGAATTATAGATTCCTCCATCACAATACTATCGATAGTACAGGCACCGCCATCTTTCACCGTTGTTCCTAAATGCCTATAAACAGCAGCGCACTCTCGTTGCAGAGCAATCGCTATTAACGAATGCACCCAAAAACTGTTACCAGTTGATGATGCTCATGCCGAGATCATCATATAGGATGAATAATCCTCTGGTAAAATATTTACTTAAATAATAAATAAGTATTTNAACGCACCCAAAAACTGTTACCAGTTGATGATGCTCATGCCGAGATCATCATATAGGATGAATAATCCTCTGGTAAAATATTTACTTAAATAATAAATAAGTATTTTACCTATGAAAAAAATGAATAATAAATCCGATTTAAATATGGATTTAACAGCATGATTTTTAATTTTTGGAACCTAATCCCCCTTTTTGCACTAGTTCTTTGTTTTGTATAACATGGATTTGCATAACAAGGCAATTTTTTGGAATGTAACTTTCATGTTATACGGGGGTTACCTATATATACAAACTATGACATATTGCCACAATAGATCATATTATTATGCACAATAATTTCCTAAAAGCTATCCTTGAAGGCTAAATTCTTGGAAAGAAAGAAAAAAAGGAAGACCAAGGAAAAAGTGTCTGGAAGAGAACAATGCTTCTATGGGGTTCCAAACTTATTGTATTATGAATTAAAAAAAAAACTGCAATGGACAGAGCACAGGTTGCTGTACAAGGAAAAACCTTCAGTAATAGATAGATATTTTCCACAATATTCCTTTAGTGTTTCCTTCTTATATTTTAATATTTTATATTTCATTTCCTATTCATGTCACATTGCTTTCATTTGTGTTGGAAAAATAATTTTATAAATTTTGTTTGAAAATCATCATGGAATTGTGAATTTCAATTAAGAATGCCTATTTAAAATTTCTTAATGTATATCCACTTACAATTTTGTTTTTATTCTAAATATGTTCTATTTTGCCTAAAACAACATTCATAAAATGTTGAAAGTACTTGTGTACATTTGGATAAACTAAATTAATAGGGAGGTTGCGGCCCAAGTTTTCATCCGTAAAACGTGAATGTCGAACATCGCTTACAAGATAGCGGCACTTGACGTTTATGTTTTAGAGATGAAAACTTCGGCCACAACCGCACTAATGCTGAAAGACAGTGTGTATTTATTAATGTTATTTTTACTAACAAAAGTGAAATCTTTAAGACTTGCTATTTATTAATAAAGAAACCTTCTAAATATTTCATATGTTAAAAAAAAACAAAAGCAGCTAAAGGAATTCATTCTATTTCTGGCCCCCATTTAAGCTTTCAACAGCCTGAAGTATATGACATTACTTTCAGACAAGTTAACTTTCAAGTTTTAGTTTTATCATTTAGTCCCTCCTTAATGAATCATACAAAAACTTTTTGATTACACCTTGTACAACAATAAAGATAATTTCTGTTTAATTAAGCAGATAACTTACGGAATTGGTTCATTTGTAGTATCGATGTGCAGACTCTGTGTCAATGGTGGTCTTTCTTCCTGGTCAAGCATTTTATTAATGCCATTTGATATATCATCCTTTATTTGAAAAAAAAAATATATAATAATATTATATGACATTCAATTTAAATTAAATTACAAAAATTCTCTTTGTATAATATAAATGCACTTAAATTAATAAAACTGCCATATCAAAATGAATTATTTACTTGAAACAAAATCCATTATCATCAAATTTTAAATATGACAATTTTTCTTTCTTTCTGAAGAAATCATTAGATGAAAACATTGCAAAGATCATATTATTACAAGTCCCAGGTCCTCATTTTCCTCTGGTAACGAGGACCTTGGGTTGTGTACAAAAACAATTATTTGACCACGAAAGTGATCAAATAATTGTTTTTGTATTATACCTAGTTTTCCTGTTACACAATCCAGTACTACCACTGAAGAGACCTAGACTAAGTAATCTAGGTGAAATGTATCTGATGGTAATAAATCATTATAGTTTATACGCAGTGATTCACAGAGTGATGGAATTGTTAAATAAATAGTCAGACTCCAGCAAATTTGAAATGTGCAACTCTGACCTTCCCCCTTTTTAAAATTTCATACTATGGTTTCTTTTATAAGAAAGATACCACTGGATATCTGAATATTTTAAATCTAGAATTTCTCTACATAAGGTTATACTAAAATTTATGGTGAAAATTAAAAAAGATATTATGATTTACCTTGAGAAAACTAGAGTACATAAAGAAACATACCACATCTTTTTCAGCCAAAAGAATTCCATATTTATTTGTTAATTATCAAAAGTTGATTTAAATTTAATCATTTCAAAGAATAAGATTAAATACAATAAAACACAAAAACTAATGATTTGATGAATAACATAATAAATTGGCCTGTAAAATAGTTACTCCTGCTCCAGTTACTACAGGAACAGGAAAGCTTTTATGCCAAATACCAAAATTTTATGCATTATCGCAGACACAAAATTTTGATGTGAAATGCTCTTTATAGAGTACAGGTAACCCCTGTATAACACGGTAGTTACGTTCCAAAAAATTGCCGTGTTATGCGAATCCGTGTTATACGAAACAAAGAACTAGTACGAAAAGGAGGGTTAGGTTCCAAAAATTAAAAAAAAACATGCTATTATATTTTCATAATTAAGATAATTATCTTTATTAAAATTTTCTTAAGTGATACATATTACTATAAATTAAACAATGTATTCTTTGTCATCACTAAAAGCACTATTAACTGAGAGCATTTTCTTTTTGACAAGTTATCTTTATCCTCTAAGCATTTTTCTGCATTATCTTCAGATCCATGCTTAACCTTTTGCAAAAAGTAAGTAATTTTAGATTGCTTGCTTCTAGTTAAAAGATCTTTATAAATTTTTTATATGGTGCTAAGCATTTATGAAAAATAAAGAAAGTATGGAATAAGGGAAAAACATCTGGCAACACCAGAAGCAGAAGCATCGAGATCTGGCAAAATTGAAACAAGTTTCGAGAAGAACCACATGTATCGACAGAAGGCGAGAAAAGAAAATTTACATACTCAAGTACTAATAGTTCACAAAAATTATTATTTTCGTGAACTATTATTACTTAAGAATGTAAAAATTTATTACATTTCATGTTATACGAGGGTTTTACCCAATTCTCGAACCGTGTCAGAGTGAATCCTTGCTATAACAGTACCATGTTATACGGGGGTTACCTGTAATATCTTTTTGATATGTAACTTTATTAAAGTGTTCATTTTCTAAGAAATTTCTTCATATTGAACAAAATGTATTTTTCATACTTCACATTTTACCAATACAGTGGGTGATCGGTTAACGAACAGTTCAGACTGCAAACAAATAGGATAACAAACACTTTCGTGAAAGATTTTTATGTTCGAACAACAAACACATGTTCAGATAACAAACAACATAACAAACACAGAACAAGAAGAAGCAACATAAAATAGTGAATACCAATTGATGTGGTCCCGGTTCCTTGTCTCCAGGTGACTATTCAAAATATTTCAAAGCTCAGGATACGTCAACATCGACACTCAACCCGATACCGATCAGATAGTATTCCTCCGAATTTTGAAACTCTTCTTTGTAATTCCAGCCTTTTATTTACTTTTCTGACAAAGAATTTTTTTATAGTGTTTGCAAGACTCTCAGGTAGTTAGTAAAAGTGCACTTGTTAAGTTTTGTGTCAGTTTTTATTTTCAAAAGGTAAGAGTTTAACTGTCCCATTGGATATTCGTTAATGTTTTAATATCAAATTTCGAATATATCTGGGCCTCACAGTTGCATAACTTTTTTGTGCACTAGTTAATTTCTGTTCTCTGAATTTTGTAAGCACTTTTCTGAACTTCTTATTTAAAAAAGAAACTGATAGTATTATGGTACCTAAAAAGAGTGGAGTTTCAAGAACTGTGTTCACCACAGAAACCTAGCAAGACATAATAGGTAGAGAGTGGGCAGATGTCTGATGTTGCTAGGCAGTATGGCTTGAAAAGGTCTACAGTAGGCACAATCTTAGCTAAGAAAGATATAATCAAGAAGACTCAAGCAGTTAAAGGGGTAATGAAATCACATCTGAGAAATAAAGAACATTGGAGAGCTCATAATGGAACCTGAAACTGATCTGATGACAGAAGATCTCCAAAAATCTCAGAGATGTGTTTTATTCTGAAAAATAGGACCAATGCTGAAATCTGCTAATAAAGATCTTTTGAAGAAGTGGGAGGATGTCAGAACAATGGTCATCCAAATTGCATCCAAAACCCGACTAAGGTTAATAGGCTTGGGGATCTCTACAATGATAATGCTATTAATTACTTACAAAAAATCCTAAAGAAAAGAGAAAAGCAATTGACATTGGACAGATTCTTTAATCTCCACAAACAGAAAAAACATTCCAAAATAATTATAAAAACCGATGGAATCAGAATTTTTTCCCCCTTTTTCTTCTTACATAAATGTAAAATATAGGAAAAAATATATTTTTCTTTCTCTTCTGACTTTTTGAATATTATATAACTTCAAATCTCAAAGCATTAAACCAATAATGACTAAAAAATTTTTTAAATTAAAAAAGTATAAAAAGAAAACAGTTTGCAGAGAAAAAAACATGACTGATAAAAATGCAAGACTGTGTATACAGTATATGTATTTTTATTATTACATATAAATAAACATAAGAAGGTATGTAAATTTTTTATTTTTTGGGGTCTCCAGAATGAATTAATCAAATTCCCATAAAAATCTATGGTAAACTGATAATCAGTTAATGAACAATTCAGGTAGCAAACACTGTCTTGGAACGGATTGTGTTCATTAACCTATCACCCACTGTAGTAAAATTCAACGTCAGAGTTGTAGGAGTCTGATGAATTTTAATGACTTTGTTGACTCTAATCCCACAGCACTGGTGACCCATAATCTGTACAATTGAAGTCAAAAGGACTTTTAGCACATAATCCAGAATTATAGACAAGAAAGTACAGAAACTGCAAATTTCAAATAAAATTATCTTAAGATTTATTTTAATTAATGGATTAAATATTTCCAGCAAATCAACTACATTTTTCAAGTTTTTAATACAAAATTATTTTGTTCAAAAAGACTAAAATAAATTAAAATACAGAAGTCTTTGCTTAACATCATTTCATTATATTGTCATCGAGGAAAGATACAAGAACATTCATAACCATATTAATTATACTATTGCGATAAAAAAGTGTTTAGAATGGTTCATTAAAAATGGTTCATTGTCCTCATTTTTTTCATTTGTTATGACTTTCATCAATTAAGTAAGAGATTTACTGCTCAGTGATTGTTGTTTAACAATTAAATGCATTATTGAACACATTCCAGTATCATTTGGATCTGGTCAAACAATTTTGAAAAATCATTTGGGTGTGGAACATTGTTTCTCAAGTTGTCCTGAAAAATTGAATTTTTCCCAAAAACAGCAACATATTTGAGTGGCCAATGAAATGCTGTCTTGAGGCAAATTGTTCTTAAAACACATCATTAAAGGTGATGAAATATGGATCTACTCTTTTGACATCAAAACAGCTCAACAATCAAGTGAATGGCACTTCAAAGGGGAAGCAAGACGAAGAAACCAAGTCAAAGTCAGTCAAAAATCAAAGTCATGTTGACTGTTATCTTCGAATGTTGTGGTGTTGTGCATCACAAATTCCTTCTGACTGGCCAAACTGTCAACAAAGAATGTTATTTGAGCATTTTGTATTGTTTGTGTAAAGCAATTCATAGAAAATGACCTGAATTGTGGCAAGAAAATTTATGAGTTTTGCACCAAGATAATGCTTTTGTTGCTTGTGAATTTTTGGTGAAAAAGTCAACAAATACAGTTCTGCGAGCTCCATGTTCACCTGATATAGCAATGTGTGACTTTTTACTGTTTCTTTGACTAAAGTTTTTGCTTTGTGGTCAGTTTTGAGTCAGTTGATGTCATAAAACAAAATTTTCTTAATTTTCAAAATGTCCTAAAGGGGTTTCACAAAAATGACTTAAAAAATATTTTGAGGATTGGAGAAAATGTTGGCATAAGTGCATTGCAATGGGAAAGGACTGAAATAAATTTTGATGAATAAAATCAAATCTTGTGTTTCATTAAACCATTTAAAACTCATCGTAGACTGCATTTCTTACTAACTAAACACACTAAAGAAAACCTTTTAAATATGCAGCCGTATTTATTGCATTCTAACGTTTTCGGTCATATTTAATGACCTTAATCAAAAATAAACAGAAAAAAAGAAAAAAATCAAACTCCAAACTTTAAAATTTGAATTAACGATACAAGCGTTTTGGAATGTTTTTCCAAAATGCTTGTATTGTTAATTCAAATTTTAAAGTTTGGAGTTTGATTTTTTTCTTTTTTTCTGTTTATTTTTGATTAAGGTCATTAAATATGACCGAAAACGTTAGAATGCAATAAATACGGCTGCATATTTAAAAGGTTTTCTTGAGTGTGTTTAGTCATTAAACCATTTCTGATACTTTTTGATTACAGGGCTATTACAATTATTGTTGTTAAATTTTCTTTTTAAACAGCAGAATTGATTCTACAAGGTGGAAAATAAATGCTGCTTGGAAATATGACCAATTAGAATAATAACAACTGAATTGTATCTTGTTTACATTATTCAGCTTATGGTAAAATTGGTTGTTATTCGTCATTTCACTTAACATTGCAGTTTCCAAGAACCTATTGACAACATTAAGTGAGGACTTGATGTATGCTACCGTTGAAACATGAACTATTCTAAATATACTAAAATTTAAAAATATAAATAAACATTTATAACATATAAAATAAAATAAAAAAATACAACATACTTGTGAACTGTCTTGTAGAATATGTAGCTGCTGATTTGAAGATATTCCATTTATATATGTATTACTAGAAAAGATATAAAATAGATTAGACACTTTTAATATATATTTGGAGCTGTCCATAAATTACATTCACATTTTTCTTGAAATTTTTACTTCCCCTACTTTTCCAGTTTCCATAGCCTCTCTTTGGATGTTCAACAAAACTCAACGCCTTAAAACCTTTATCACTTTATGAATGATCGATACCGTAAGTAGAAATGAAACACATTAAATTTTGAAATAAATACAGTAGAGCATCGATCATCCGACTCAATTGGGGACTGGGGTTGGTCGGATAACCGAAAAGTATGAAAAAATACATTATTAGTATAGTATATTATTATATCTCATGTAATTAGTATATTTAGTATATCGCTATTAACCTACTTCGCGTTGAATTTTCATCGATGTTAAGCCTAACAAAAATTTTTAAAAATAATAATAGTCACTATTGTGTCGTTAAAAATTATTTTTAAATTATTTTATTGCTTACAAAACAAACAACCACTCATAATTAGAAAATTAAGCCTCGTTTAAATATCCCTTTCATGGTCGAGCCGGCATTGCCAGCTATAACACCAAAAATTTAACGAAAATAATATTAAAGTAGCCAAGACATAGCCAAATATTATAGCGCCGCATCACCAGCAGACATTTGAATTTGCCAACTAGAACGCAGTCGGTTAACCGATGTGACGGTTGATCGATGCTCTACTGTATAATAAAATGCATAAACTATATAAAATTTAATAAAATAAAACAGACATTCATTGAAGTTCAACCCCTCTCCCTTGTCCTACTTGTTTTAACCTCCTCCCTCCCATCATGGATGCCATTTATGAACAGCCCGTTAGAATATATATGAATTATATATAAATATAAACACATCCACTAACCTGACTACTTAATTAAAACCAGATGAACTGTTTAATTATAGAACTATAATATGGATAAGTTAATTAAATATGAAATAATTTGTCTAGAGGCAGACAGTTAGGTCCCATCTCATGATAATTTCAATAATTATAATAAATTAAATTTTCCATTTAGAATTTCTGGAAGGAAAAAAAAATCGGTGCAGAGTGAGACTTGGACCCATAACTCCTGCAAACTGTGCAGAAACATTGTCAATTATGCTACCCAGACTGCCATCCACTTTTTGCTTTCAGAATCTCCTTTCCTTTCAGGAATTCTGAATTAAAGATTAATTTATCATCATTATTAAAATTATCAGAAAATGGCTGCCTAACTGCCTACCTCTAGACAAATTATTTCATCTCTAACTATAAACTTACCCATATTATAGCCCAGTAACTTGGCAATTCGTCTGGTTTTAATGATGAGTTATATACATATATACCCCATATAACATGATAGTTAGGTTCCAAAAAAGTGTTATATTATGCAAATTTGTGCTATGCAAAGAACTAGGTTCCAAAAGTTAGTAAAAGTGTACTATTCTTTTTCATAATTAAAGTATTAAAGTTTATTAAAGTAGTCAATAATTAACTACCAATCATAATCAAAATTATTGCACACTACTATTAATTTTTCTTTAGTGCTAAATGCCGTTAAATAAGGAATTTTTCTTTTTGGCAAAATATCATTGCCATTTGAGCTTTCCTGCTGACCTTAATCTGGAGTGTCAGGAACATCTTGATTATTCTCTGATTTTTCATTTTCTTGTGTTTGTTTATGAGATCTTTAAAAATTTAATCTTTTTATATAGTAACTTTTAACTTAATCTATAAAATCAACACACAGTGACAGTTTTTCAGATTCATTTAAAACAGTCACCAATGACAGTGACACATGGTTTATAGGAACGTTAGAATAGGAAGTAAAAACAAGGAAGAATAAAAATTGTAGAGTTAGTTTTCATTAAAGAAAATCAGGAAAAGGCATGAAACAACATTAAAAGTTTAAATATTCTAAAATCCATGGACAAATATGAGACAATACGCATGCTTACTTAAATAAAAAATTGTCAAATTGTTGGTGTTTGCACTTAAAAATTGTGCTTTTTTGTATGAGGAGGTCTCCAATTCTCAAACTGCATTGTACAAAGGATTTCCCCAATTCTTAAACTGTGATAGAGCAAAGTAGTGTTGTAGGAATGCCTTGTTGGCAGAGGGATACCTGTATTTTTATTACTGTGAATAGGCAGTTAACTAAGTGGATCAATGTTCCATAAAATTTTAATTTGTAAAGTTATTTTATACATTGTTCTATATCATTAACTTACTGTAAACCTGAAGATAATCACTGAAAGCAATTGAAAACTTAGATTTCAATTTTAGATTAAATTTTAGAATTTCAATTTTAGATTAAATTTTTAGTTGTGCTGGATTTTTTAGTTATTTAGTGAACTGTGAAACACATCCAGATTATTGTGAATATTTTTAAATGTATAAAAATAATAAGTCACACATTCCACAATATTTGCATTCTATTTAGATGTTTGATTTCAGGCCTGTTAAAACCTGAAGTAGAAAATGTTTATTTCATTAAATTTAGTAGAGAAAAATGTATGAATATTAGTATTTTCTTATATTTTAGGTAAAGCAAAAATGTACTCTGGCATGTTTCTGTACCTTCCTTGCAAAGATTAAAAGTTCATCTAGAAAAGTTACAACACATTTAATGTTACTAAATATTTGAGAGAAACATCTATAAAAGTTCCAGGAGCATAGCTGATCCCATAAGGCATTCTGAGAAAACAGTAGCTTCCATATGGTATGTTAAATGTGGTGAATTTAGCACTATCTTTAATTAATTAGGTGAATTTTCCAGAATGCCTGATTAGCATCTACAATGTTAAAAATTTTTGCTCCTGCCATTCTTGATGTCGTTTCATCAAAAGTAGAAATGTTCAAAAATAAAAATAAACCTTTAAATATCCAGCAATAAAAATGTTTAATAAAAACGTTTTCAACCGTTTTAAACGGCCATCTTCAGTTGAAAAAGAACACTAAAAACGAACGCATGAAATACGAATTAAATAGAAACCGAAGTGCGCATGCGCAATTTATCGGACTTGCGTCATCTGAAAGTCTATAAATAACTTGCAAATAAATAACATAAAAATAATAAAGCCGCCAGAAAAGAAGGGAGGTAGGAATATAAGTTGACTACAAGATGTTAATCTGCATTATTGTAAAAGGATTTCCAGGCATAGGATAACCCTTCTGCATCCCTATGATTAATGCATCCCTTATTTATGTGAGCCTTGTGTATCTCTATCTTCTCAAGGTGTTTCACTGCCTGTCTGGAATTCGCAGCTCTAATGATCGAGGCTTGATCCCAATATACCTCGACCTCTTGCTGTTTGCCAAATGCTGTGAGGACTGTGGCATCTATGTTTTTACTCACAGAGTATTTATGTTCCTTGATTCTTTGTTTTAACTTTGTTTTTTAGTGTTCTTTTTCAACTGAAGATGGCCATTTAAAACGGTTGAAAACGTTTTTATTAAACATTTTTATTGCTGGATATTTAAAGGTTTATTTTTATTTTAAATTATTCATTCCAGTATAAGTTCTTGTTATGTAGAAATGTTCTCTTACCAAATTCCTATTTAGATTGCATGGATCCAAACAGATTATAATTTACCCATTGCTTTTCCTCACTAACACAATGAAATTCACCCATTCTGTGCATGAAATTCTGACCCCTCTGTTAGACTTGATGTTGCTTTTTGAAGATTAGTAAAAACTGATTGGACTCGTGTAACTGGTTATGTAACTGGTTATGTAACAAAGAAACAAAGAATACACAAAGATTACACTGTCTTGACTCACAGAAGGTCCGCGCTGAAAAAGGGGAGAGTGAAATGAGGTCACCATCTCTGACGGTTCCCCGAGGGGTCAACAGCGCCACCAACCTTTTATTTTGTAACCGGAAAAATGTTTACAAAACATCACTGAGACACAATGCGTTGTACGTAATGATGTCATATAGCATTTAACAATAACTTCAATCATTGATTCCAACACCCTCAATAAAATATGCATTAAAATATTTTAGAATGAAAAAAAAAGGTAGAAATATTTTCTGTGTGGCAGTATGCTATTATATATATCAATTTAATCATAGTTTTTAGAATATTTCCCTTTGTTCTTTGTTTCTTCTCGCTTCTAGAACTTTCTTTTCTAACTCTTTTCCCTTGGGTGGTGAGGAGTAATTTGTGAAACTACAGAAAATAAAAAGATAAAGAGAACTTGAGGGCATGAGTGACAGGGAGTGGGACATTCTTTTGACTGGACCTCATAGTGGACGAATGTGGAAGATGGTGTTCCTTGTTGTCAAGAGTAGCTAGACTGGAGGAACAGTGCTAGCCTGATAAGAACTTGAATTTTATCAGAGTCACAATAAAAGAAGTATCAACTAGGTATAAATGATAATCAAAGGATGATGATGACAAGCCATCAGTCTTACCAAGTTCCATGTGGCCTCCCAACAAAATTGTGCAAAGTTCTGTACATCCCAGGTATTTCATTCTTTTCTATAATCTATTCCATTATTTATCACATTCCCTGTTATCTTCCCTTAATTTAAGTTAGTTTGTAAGTACTAGTTATAGTCTTTCCTAGTACCATATTTAGTATATGTTGCAACTGGTGCGAATTTATGTTATTATCTGCCATTGTTTTTGTTACCACTGTGTTGTAATTGTTTACCATTGAGTTGGAATACAAAAAAATCTACACATATTCAATAAAATAAAATACTTGGTTTAACTATATACTATGCACAGTATTTATTTGGTATGTTCTCTTTTGTCAGTCAATGTGTATTTTGCAAAATTATCACATCTGTATGAAAAGACATGACACAAACATATAAACAATGTAGGAATATAAGTCCTAAGATCAGTCATCATTGATTGGGATTGAATTAATCATCTTTGACAACATCTTCCATGACTTGAGTGGAGATTACATTACACTACCAATGGTAAATGACCACTTTGAGCAAAGACAGAGTCTGAAACCAATCAGAATGATCAATTGAAAGGGCCACATTAA